CTGAACTGGTTTTCAGGAAAGCCACTTATTTTTGACTTGCACTGAGTATGAGCAAGGAGTCCACAGACGACGAAGAAGGCGTTTCGCTTCACCGTGGCCTCGGACGTCATGCTTGTGAGCCCACATGCCACACAACTGTCCGTGCCACACGACTGTCCTTACGGCCAGACCGCAAAGCGCTGGGAAGAGTTCGCCGAGCACATGTGTGTGATCTACGGTGACCTCGTCACAGTCATCAGGCGCCGCTGGCGCTCTGACGACCTTAGGACGGCCTTAGAGAACGATCGAGAGGCCACGGCGTGGTGTTGGGCGATAATCGCGACGAGAGGGAGTGCGAGCAGGGCGTCGTCCATGACCGGTCCAAAGCGAAAAACTTCTGCACGTTTGCAAAAACATCGGACGCGGCCACTTTTCATCATTGAGTTTTCAGGAATGTCGCGCGCCGAACAATCCTGAATTCCACCCTTGCAAAATCACTCTAATATCGTCGTCGTCGTGACTTCAAGTCCCGATGTAGCAATTATTCTGATCCAAGGTGGACGCAAGAATTGGGAACTGCAATTGTTGGTAGTATATTTTCGCATATACACGTATACGGACTTACATCAAGAAAGGAAGACAAGACTAGAGGAGGTAGCGCGTCGGCAGTGGGGACCCGTGGCCTGCAGCGCCCACGTGTCGGCGGTCCTTGCAGTTGAGCACCATAAAGCCGCCGGCGAATTCTGAGTAGCGGGACCAGATGATGGACTCGTCAACGATGCTCAAGATCGAGCCAAAGTGGTGGTAATGGTCCGGAATGAGCGCACACCGGCAGCGAGAGAGGTCGTTGCAATGGCCGCGCCGCTTCATGGGCACCCACACGGCAAACGCACTAGCTTCCACGTGAGAGACAAATAGGTATAATAGCACCAAAACCTACTGCTCCAGAAAGTCGGATTCGAAGACGCAGCCGTCGTCGCACTCGACATAGAGACCGACCACGCAATAGTCCATGAACCGCAGCACGGCTCGTCCTTCGACCATCGACGCCTCAAGCGCCGAGGCAACGCCATTGGACGCGAGCACACGCGGCTCCATGCGAAGCATCGCGTGCGCCATCGGGTGGCGAGCCACCTACACGCCTTGCACGTCAACCAACCAGGGACAACGAACGTCAGAACGCACCGCCGACCGCTTGGACCCGTCCTTGTAGTGCACTTGGATGGCTGCAGCGTCAATGTGCACATGCGACGAAGAGAGGTTCTGGATGATGACGCGGAGCTGGACGTACGTCTTGGCACCGATCGGGAGCGTCTTGCAGTCGGCGCGGTGCCCGAGCGTGAGCCTACGACAGAGGTGATTGACGCTGCAACATGTAGCGCCTGCGTCTACCAGGTCTCAACGCCACCGTTGTAGCTGTGGCCCCACGTCGGTTTGTCCTACGAGACAAACGATCGCATGAGCGCTGGCGTCGAAGAGGCGAGGCGTACGGCCGTCGAGTAGAGACCATGCGGTTTTTGCTCCGAGATCTGCAGATGCCGGTACAGCCCGAGGTACGAGTGCACGCCGTAGCGGTGCAGCTTGATCATGCGCGGTGGCAGCTGCCAGCGACGACGGACCAGCGGCAACCAAAGGCGGTCCGAGCGGCAGATGTCGCGCCACTCCTTGGAGAGTTGCCTACATGGCATGAGCTTTGTACGTGAGCACAAGGACATGGCAACGCACATGGTTGTGAGGATCGACGCCGGCGTGAGATAGCCAAAGACCAGGAGGATCTACCGTGCATGAGAGGCGGCGCCAGCGGCTTGGCGTCGTACCAGCTCCTCGCTCATGTTGACGAGGATAGGCGTGTACGTGGCAGACGGCGCGGCGCGTGGCAGCTGCATGCTGCGCGAGCTCTCGGCGACTTGGCTCGCCATGCTTCAACAGTGCAAAGATCGCTGCTTCGAGGTGCGCCAGGTAATGGCGATGGCCGAGCTGGGCTCCGGCCGCCCACGTCGCTAGCTCGCGTGTGATTCGCTGAAAATAATTCACCCAATCAGCGATGCGGAAGGAATGGGACCAATCAGAAGCAGCTGGTACGCGCGCGCCGCGTGCGATTGGGTGAAATGCAAGGTGCAACGTGCGATCCCACGCCTTCAGAGACTGCCAGCTCATGCATGGGCCTAATGTCGATAGGATTGGGCTGCGATGCATGAGAACACTTCTTCACGCTACTTGGACGGTGCTTGGACGCGCGGCGATTGGCTGCTTCTTAAAGTTCGATACCTACTCGCCCCTTGGAAAGGGTCGTGGAGATTCGTTCTTCGCTCGTAGTCCCACGAGCTCCTTAGCCTCAAGTATATATATATGAACGTGTTTCGCGTTATCTTCGTTGTTACAAAGAGTTCGCATACGTAGAGACTAGCAATCTCCTTCTTCTTCATTCGCTCGCCGGGCCGTGGCTGCGCAGGCGGCGGCGCGGGGTGCGATCTTGTTCTTCTGTAGTCGCGCGGGGACGCTTGTGGCCGCGGGTGAGGCCCATGATGACAAGTTCCGTAG